CCGAGCGCCCCTCGCCCCGCGGGAGCCGCGCCGCTCCCTTCCCTCGGGGAGCCAGATTGGAATGGCTGCTTTTGATCCCATTTGTTCCTAACCCCGGCATTTGTTTTCCATTTTATAAACGCTTCCCTTTAAGTAATTGTCCCTGTTAACAGCGTATACCTTTCAGCAGCCCTGGCTGCGCTATAAATAATCGGGATGAAGATGCAAGGATATGACTTTCACAAGATTGGACAATTGATTCAATCTGTGACCCGCAATCGCGAATAATATTGGAAGGCTATTTAAACAGATGAAGGCCTAAATTGTCTTGCTTGTATCTGAATTAATTTCTCATTCATCATCATTATGAAGTGATTGGTCTATTCAAGCTCTTCAGCCTGCTGGAACGGAGGGGATTTAAATGAGATTGTAACACAATTTAAATGCTTGCCGACTTTAACGAGGCCAATTGAGCAGCTGCAATAAATACAAATATTTTTCTAAACAGCCTTGTTTTAAATAATTACTTAATGCTTTCATGTTATTTTTAAGTGGCAATCTTTCTCTCTCTCCTGCTCTGGCTCAGACTATCACACACTTATTTGCTGAGAAGGCGATTTTGGAAACGACTTTGAGTTTCTGTTTGCTTTGTAGAGTAGCACGCGTTTTGCGGTTGGCTCCCCCCCTCCCCCCCGCCCAAGGGTCAACATTTCGGGGGTCCCTCAGGCTGGCACAAATGGTGAGATGGGCCTTGGTTTCGCCCTAGTGCAGTCTGACGCGCCTGCCCCGCAGAGCCAGGGAGGAGCTGAGCGATGGAAGACATTTGCCGTTTGAATCAAGTCGCTTATCCAGACACATTCTAGCTGCGTCTTGCCAACGAATGCGTGTGCTTGCACTTGCAAATGACCCTCCGAAGAGTGGCATCGCGTCTGACGCGTCCCGATGACCTCCAGCATCTTGAACAAATCAGAATGCCCGCCTATCCCAAAGGTGTCCCTTAGGAAGTTCAATCTGCCAGCAGTTTGGCTCCCCTGCAAGTCGACTGGAGTGGGTGACGGCCGCTGAGAATGTCTGTTAGGCACCAGGCACAGACAGAGAACCTGGCCACCACGGCTGGTTGAGGGTATAGTCATTAGGAAAAAAAATCCCAATTTTTTGCCCCAACCTCCTTTCCCTCCCCATCACTCATAGCTCCTACCCCTCCCTTTCTCGCTCCGGGGTGATGTGCATGGAGAGGATGCTACCAAAGAAAAGCTCTTCCCACTTGGAGAATGCCATCCGTCTGGCCATCCTGGACAACTGTCCGCTGTGACACCCACGCTCTTCGGCGGACATATGGTGGCGGGGCTTTTCTCGATGGAGGAATAATGGAAGCAACCGAGCGAGCGGGAGAAGCCTGGGAAACAAAAGGATCTTTTAAACTTTCGGGAAAGGTCTGGGGGTGGGGTGGGGAGACGTGCGATTTGCTGAGGGGACCTGGGCTCCCATTTGCGGTGACGGCCTAGGCAGTGATGGCGAACCTATGACACGCGAACTCATTTTTTTGGTTGATTTTTCTTTGTTAAATGGCATTTAGATATATAAAATAAATATAAAAATATAAGTCTTTGTTTTACTATGGTTGCAAATATCAAAAAATTTCTATATGTGACACGGCACCAGAGTTAAGTTAGGGTTTTTCAAAATGCTGACACGCCGAGCTCAAGAGGTTTGCCATCACTGGCCTAGGGCCACATTCCCCTGGGAGGCCGAGCTCCTCTTTCCTCTGCCTGGGATGCGGGCAGAAGGACTGGATGTCTGGGCGGTGGGAGTGCAGGGTTCTCCGCTGGGAAGACAGAGCCCATGTAGTCACTAGAGAAGCCGCCACGCGTGGGGCACACCACCTTGCAGGATTCGATCAAACTGCAGGCCAGGGAAAAAATGGGGACCAGGGTGGAGGAACCAAGTGATTTGCTATGTAACTGGGCAATTTAATGCCAGAGTTAGGGAGCTGCTGGCCAGAATCATTTCGTCTGCAGAGCTCATCCTCTTTATCCTGTTGTTTAAAATGAGCATTATCCCAAACATATGCAATGCAATCAGTTTGGTCACACTTACAAGAACACGCTTTAATAAGGCAATCAATCACTCGCTAACAAGCGAGCGACGGGCCGCGCTGAACACGCACGGGGGCTGCGGGGCGGCTGGTGTTGCGGGCTGGGCTGGGCTGGCCGAGATGGAGCGCGGGTCTTTGCTACCAGACCCTCCCCTCCTGGTTCCACTAGGCTGAGGAGCCCAGGGAGTGTGAGTGGGAAGTGAGGTGTCAGACTTTGTGAGGGGTGACCGTGGCCTATGGGCCCCAAAGAGGCTCAGGACAAGGGAGAGGAAGCCGGAGCGGGAAGCTCAAAGCTGTGTGGGCCACTCATGGCTGTGTGAGACCAGGAGCCTCTGTTTTCCCACCTGCAAAACGGGACGGAAACGGGGCAAAGCTAAACAGGCGTTCAGCATGTTGAAAAATTGTAACGATAATACCATTCCAGCCCCTCTGCCTTCTCATTTTACAGGTGAAATGGCTGCGCCGTGGAGGGGCAGTGTCTTATTCATGGTTATCTCCCCTCCCCTCCCCCGCCTATGGAGGTATCAGGCCACTTGTGGCTGCAGATGCAGGCGGGCAAACCTGTTTTCAGGTGCACGGGTGGGGGAGGGAGTGGGAGAAGCGGTGCCCAGCGCCAAACCGCAAACCTTGGCAAAAGGGAAATTTCATTATGAAGTAATGAGTAATTCCTCCTGGCAAGATGTATTGTTACATCTTCCACTTCAATTTGGAGGAAGAGAGGCTCAATTACCCAGAAAATACAGTCAATTAAAGGCTGCTGATTGGACACGAGGCCGGATCATCGATCTTGTACTTTCCAATATCGCTGCAGACACCTCATTTTCCCTCCCTATTAACTGAAAATACGCCTGGCATTACGGCAACCCGCAGCCCATTTACCTGTCGCAAGCAATCTCTTGGCCCAACTCGAAGTAACCGCGGGATTTGCCGGGATTTGGCACCGGGAGCTTCCGGGCCGCAGAAGGAGCTGCGCAGGGGCGGGGCGGGGAGTGGAGAGGAGGCTGCGGAGGCGTGGAGACCTCAGCACGAGGCGGTGCTGGGGAGGGCAGGCGGCACTGTGGGCAGAAAGGTTTGCTCTGGGCCTCAAAGGAGGGTGAAGGCCAATTGAGGGGCCCACACCTGCCAGTGGATCCACCCACGGAGAACCCAGCCTGCTGGAGCAGGACTTCAGAGGCAGCCACGTGGCTCTTCTGTGGTGACAGAGGATGGGAGTGAGGTGGCTGCAGAGACTGGCCCTGACAGCCCAGAAATCCATCCTTGGAGATGACTGCCAGTTTGAGGATGGTGCCGACCCTTCCAGCCCAACCAAGACCTCCTCCTCCCTCATCTCCCTGACCCCTAATGTTCATACCCAGTTCCACCCCCACTGCCTCGTTCATCTCTACTTGGTTGGCCAAGGGGCCAGGAAACTACAGCTCAGAGTCGCCTTTCCTCAAAGGGTTGGAGCAAGTAGAGATGGGAGCATCGCAGGGGGGAGCACCAAGTGGGGTCAGTGCTCTGCCCGTTTAGCCCCGGAGGCTCCCACCAAGTGCAGAACTAAGAAGACCCGGAGGCTCCCACCAAGTGCAGAACTAAGAAGACCCGCGCCTGGGGCAGTTGGGAGCCTGCCTTCTCCACCTCTGTGCCATGCCCGTGAGGAGCCTGCCAGTCCCAGCAGAGATTTGAGGGACTCTGTCTGGGGGGTCCATCTCTTGGTTCCTTCCCTGCCCAAGCCTCAAGTGGCTGAGCTAGCAATTCAAAAGGAGTCAAGCTCCTGCCTGCTGCCAAAAAATTAAAATGCTAAAGTGAGAATCATGTCCAGCTTTTATTGCAATGTGGTCAACAAATTGTAACAGCAAATTCTTTGGGCTTCAAAGGAAAACCAAACCAAATGAACCACTGCCTCCCAGCCAGAGCGAAGCTTGCATTGGGGGGTACAGGGTCTCCTGTCCCGCACTCTGGCTGCAAGAATGAGTGTGGGAGTGAGAGTTTGGGGGTGGCTCCAAGCAGACCCTGGTGAAGGGGAAAGACAAGTGCCCTCGAATGGGCAGAAGCTCCCACTAGTATCTGAAAGCCAGGCTCCAGTGGCAACTTGGGAGGAGAATGAGAGGGAGAATGATGTGAGATGCCAAATACAAAGGGAAGGCCGGAAAGCTCCTGGTGCAGGCAAAGGCTGGAAATCGCCTCTGATTTGCCTGCAGATACTGAGGGAGGGGGATGAGGCCTCGCTCCCTAAGCTCTTCCCTGGGCGCCTTGTTAACAGCTCAGCTCTGGCTGGCTGCATGGTGATCATTATTATACATTCAACATTCACAAGCCCTCCTCACACACACATCACTTACTAAGCAGAATGTGTAGGGCCAAGGGGTCCTGGGGGGTCTGCAGCCTCCCTACCAACCTTAGAACAAAATGTGTGTGTGGGGGGGGAGGGGGTGTGGAGATGGAGTTGCAAGTTGAGAGCGATGGAGAAGCGAGGAGGAAAGAGATCAGGTGCTAGTAAATGGCAGAACCAGAAGGTGTCGTGTAAGTGAGGCTCCAGGAAGGCCAGCGAGTCCCCAGGTGCCATGGAGGCCCAGGATTCCCCGTGGCAGCACATCATCTCTCTCACTCCCCCTCGATGGCTGGTGCATTGTCATCCACAGCCCTTCCCGCCCCGGGAAAGCTGGCCAAGAGTAGTCTCTACCTGCGCTGCGCACACAGCATTTTGTAGAGAGACAGCAATTCCCCTTCCAGTGCTTGGGCTTGACTTTGGGGGGGATTGTTTAGCTTTGGAGCCAAGGCCTCCACCAGGGTTAGGGGCAGGGGGTCCGATGATGAGGGGCCCAGAGGGGCGCCCCAGAGGCAGGTCCTCGGCCTCTTCCTGCCAGTCCCACCCCTGCTGCCCCAACGGGTCGGCCGAGGCCGCTTCCGGGAGTTCCTCCACGAGGCCGAGTCCTGGTGGTGCTTTTCGGGCCCCTTCTTTCCCCTTGGCGCCCAGGGGGCGGGGAGGGGTGCTGGCTGAGTCCCCGGCCCCCCCACGGGGCGTCCTGGAGCTGGCAGCCCGTGGGCAGCCCCTTATCTGGTTAGGGGCACCTCCTCTCTCTGGTCCAGCGCCACGGAGGAGGCTTTGCTGAGCACGGAGGGCGCGAAGGTGAGGAAGGAGTCCGAGCGGGACGTGGAGGCACAGGTGA